ATAGTAATAGAGAAAAAGGTCTATCTAATAATAAATTATGTTGCTTAATTTACTCAAATTTAAAAATATTACTTGTTCTTAATTTTCTCGCTCTACTTTGGCCATAAAAATATTTTCGATTTAGGAACGTGGAAATGCCTTGTTCAACTCCCAACATGCTAGAAGGGTAGTCCAGTGTTGCCGTGCTCGTTCCGGACAGCATGACGTACATTTAAATTTGCTACTTGTACATAATGAATTATATAATATGATGTGGAGGAAAAAAATTGGATTAAAAAATCGATTGTAGTTTAAATTGACAAACAATATGATGCCATGTGACATTACATAACCCATTATGTAAATCTTGATTTTTATGTAGCAAAATGTTGTATATTTAAAATCATACAGTATACATAAAAATAAATTAAATATAACCCTTATTTGATTTCGATTTTTTTTCAAAATACATTTTTCTCTATATTCTTTTCAATTATATATTCCTCAATAAAATAATAGTACAAGCAAATTCAATTTTTTTATTTTTTAACAACATATTTTTCATCAATTTACCATTTCAAAATACATTATACATGTAAAAGTGGGACTCAAAATGCCATAATCAAAATTTGATGATTCAACATTGAATTAGTTGAGAGACTTCGGTACCGGGCACTTCTGGGGGTGGTGGCATGGTAACGTGTTACTTTTTGAAACTCAGGTTATTATCTTATTCAATCTCGTGATCTGCAATCCCTGAGATGTTCTATTCTCTCTTATTAATGTAATCTTCAACTTATCTTTTCAACTATGTTTGAGCTGTTTCTTCAAATATTCTGTGTTTTTTCAAAAAGAGGGTTCCTGGAGGGTGAAGAAATCTTTGGTCCTCTTTAAGCTAGATAAAGGGGGCTGTTTAGCTGGTTTTTTGAACTGGGTCTGATCTGTTTTTCACAATTCATGGATTTTTCACTAAACAGTTGTTCTTGAAGGAGAGGGAGTATTAGGTTTTCATTAGGCTACTGTAATATTGGGCGAATGAGTTTGTCTTGTTAACTTTGACTGATTTTCTGAAATGAATTTGAGATGTCCTAGATGATTCTATTTACATAGAAGGGTGTGGCAGCTGGGAATATTTTTTTTCCTTATTTTTTAGGGGGTTTGATGATATTTGGTTTTGTTCAAGATGGGATTAGGCGGAGATAGCTTGGAGGTAGGGTCTTGGGAGGTGGGAAAATCGAAGGGGAGGAAGAAGAAGAATGGTGATGCTGAGGAGGAAACTGGGTGTTGGATTAAGTTAAGATATTTTGGTAGCTGTATTTCTTCAAGATCAAAAGTTGATAGCTCAAATAGTGGCATCAGCACTCATGGTAATCCTGTAATTAATTTTAAGTATGTCTTATCCCGAGTTAAATTGGATTGTAGTTTTTGATTTGTTTCCTTTGTTTTCAGTTTAATCTGATTTGTCCTCTGCAATTTTGATCTATGTGCTGGAATTGTATGTGGTTTCTATATTTTAAATTGTATTTTAATATAATCTTGAATGGGATTAGCTTAAGAGAACTTATGCATGAAATTCTAGATTCTTAAGCAACAAGCTGAACATTATTTTCTGTTAATTGGCTTTTAGGATGAAAGCTTTATTGTGACTGATTACTCCTTCGAGTAAAATAGCTCAGTTTTTTTTTGAAAATTGTGGCTACATAAGGATTGGTTTCGATGTTTGATAATGTTTAATGAAGGTGCTAGGCAGAAAACAGTAATCTAATTAACATAGAATCGGTGTTGAAAGTAAAAGGTTGATTGAATTTGAATTAAATGCTGAAGCATCATATCAGTAATTGTGAAAACAAATCATTGTTCAAAGTAAGGGTTGATTTGGATTATTACTTATCTGATTGGTGAAGTAAATTAATTTTCTTACTGATTTTTCAAATGGGATAAAATCAATTATGCAAATTCTAGGCCATTGGGTGTTTCTTATTCGGCTTAGATTTCATTTAGATGTAATATGACTAAATGTTGGTACTTCAATTTGCATGTTCGAATTCTCATTGTGACTGTTTAACAGAAAGTAAATCTACGAATGATACTAGCCAAGGTCAACCAGTTGCTCCAGTAATTTCTTCAACCACCACGAGCAACACTGAAAGCCATGCTTCCAGCTCCAAACTTGAAGAGGAACTCAAAATTTTTTCTCAGCTTCGAAAATTCACATTCAATGACCTTAAGTTAGCCACAAGAAATTTTAGACCGGAATCTCTTCTCGGTGAAGGGGGATTTGGTTGTGTATTTAAAGGGTGGATTGAAGAAAATGGAACGGCACCAGTGAAACCGGGGACAGGACTTACCGTTGCTGTGAAAACCCTAAATCATGACGGACTTCAGGGTCACAGAGAATGGCTGGTTCGATGATTTCACAATTTATGTTTCTCAAAGTGGCTTTCCTGCATGTATATTTGGCTTAATTTTTTGAATTGTTCTAATTGCAATTCTTTTTGGCAGGCTGAAGTAAATTATCTGGGTGACCTTCTTCATTCTAATCTGGTTAAATTAGTTGGTTACTGTATTGAAGATGATCAAAGGCTGCTAGTTTATGAGTTCATGCCTAGAGGAAGCTTAGAGAATCATTTATTTAGAAGTATGTACGAAATCTTCTTCCACCATAATTTCTTTGATATATTGTAGTTAAAGCTTTTATCTATGAGGCCTTGTTGAGAAAACTATGTTCTATTGCCTTTTATGTGATTTTACATGATATCCCCTTGGAATGGAATTGGAAAACCAGGAGCATTTTTGGAGTGACAATATAGTTAAATGCTTATATATATATATATATAAGCACAAAGGTTTTGTTTAGTACACAACACTGGACAAGACTAGATGGTACAACGAACAAGATTTTAGCTTTTTTTTCCTTTCTTAATAATGTCCAGTAGGCCTCCCAAACATGCCAAAAGTGTTTTGGTTCCCTCAGTAGTCTGCATTATGTGGTATAAAATCTGATTTCCACAATAAAGTGAGGATTGTATTTAACCATCCTCAACTTATTTTCTTTCATCTTGTTGGGCCTTCCTAATAATTTAAAATATTTGGCTATCCTAATGGTTGTTATTGTAGGGTCTCTACCTCTTCCGTGGTCTATCAGGATGAAAATTGCTCTAGGTGCTGCCAAGGGTCTAACTTTTCTTCACGAGGAAGCAGAAAGGGCAGTTATATGTCGTGATTTTAAGACCTCTAACATCCTATTAGACGCTGTAAATTCCCAACACCTCATAAATCACAATCTTGTAAAATAGCAAATTATTTCTTGATATATATGCACTATCTTTTCAATTTTATCTTTCCAGGAGTATAATGCCAAACTTTCTGATTTTGGACTTGCTAAAGATGCTCCGGATGAAGGAAAAACTCACGTTTCCACGCGTGTGATGGGAACATATGGCTATGCAGCCCCAGAATATGTCATGACAGGTAAACAAATGTCTTTATCTTGCTCGTATCCTTTTCTTCTTCTATAAGAATTGTAAAATAAAGATCTGAGAACAAACCAAAAAAATGGATTTAATATGGATGTTTGCTAGTATCAGTGGCCTATAATATCTCTTTTTGTTACCATGGGGGGCCATAAAACACGTATTTCTGGTAATTTCTCCAGGATTTGCTTGATATCCCTCTTTTATTCTGATCGAATCCTATCCTTGTCCATTGCAGGGCATCTTTCATCAAAGAGTGATGTCTACAGCTTTGGTGTTGTTCTTCTTGAAATGCTTACGGGTAGAAGATCAATGGACAAGAACCGGCCTAATGGAGAGCATAACCTCGTGGAGTGGGCCAGGCCTCATCTTGGTGACAGGAGACGATTTTATCGTTTGATAGATCCTCGACTTGAAGGTCATTTTTCCATAAAAGGTTCCCAAAAAGCTGCAGAATTGGCTGCTCGTTGCCTTTGCCGGGATCCCAAAGCCAGGCCTCTGATGAGTGAAGTTGTCAGCGCTTTGAAACCTTTGCAGAACCTCAAGGACATGGCCAGCTCGTCGTACTTCTTTCAGACAATGCAAGCCGAACGTGTTAGCCCCAGCCCAAATGCTAAAAATGGGCTTCGGACTCGAGGATCGTTATTGAGAAACGGACAGCAGCATCCAAGAAGCCTCTCAATACCAAAAGGTTCGCATGTTTCTTCACGCCAGCAGTCTGCTAATAATTCACCAAAGCCAGATGGTAAACCATAGAACTGGATTGGAACTTTTCTCCAAGTTTTTTACCGTTCTTTTTCGTATAGCCCAAGTTGGATAGAATTTGTCGCTGGTCCTTAGGTTACCGGTCAAGGAACTCGAGTACACCCTCATTCTCTTGTGAATCTAACAGGGTGAATGCCCCACAGGAGAAGAATGCGACAAACAGGAACTGAAGTTCATGGAGTATATGTTTATGCAAGTTGGAATATAACATGTGAAGTTCACGAATTTAAAATGAAAACTTTTAGTTCTTGAAGTTAAAACCATAAAGGTTATAGACTCTTCTTGCCACCCTTGTAATGATTTTAACATTGAAGTTTTCTGCTGAAGAATCGCTTATTCAATCCAATTATATTCAATTTAGTCTAATCATATAGATTTTGGTTCCTCGAGGAGATGTTTGCAAGGAATCAATATGTGATAAATCGAGTTAAGTTTGTCTACCTGCCTAGGAATGAATGAGAATCTATGTAGAGTACCACGATATTGATAAGATTTTTAATTGGCTGCAAGTGAAATTTGTAGCCTAAACTGATTACTTTTCCTTTGGACATAAAGATTAACGCACGAGGTCAAATTCTGAATACAGTAATATTCGAAAATGGTTTGCTTATTACTGATACAATGACCATCTGGGCTCTTTATATGTGATATTTTTATATACGCAAGATTTAGGTTCTTACAGAGGAATGAAGCTTAGCGTAGCAGGGGTGTGTGGGTGTGGGGCAGGTGGAGAGTGAGTTGTAGTACCACCACGAAAGGTCATCGTTCTTGGTGTCGACTTTGTCATACAACCCTCCGGGTAAGCTGATCCTTAGATGTGCTTTCGAATATCTTGTCAGCATTTCCGACCTCAAATCCATCTCGCCTATGGTACTCTTTAACCTATGCAATTCAGGCATAAGGTAAAGGTTAGAAAACAGACGTCAATTGTTTTAATGTATTTGTCCCGCATGTTAAAATTCTCACGAGGTGTGAGTTTGCTTCTCTTCGCAAAACACGTCAAAGGATGAACCTTTTGCTAACAAATACGTACTTTAGCGTGCATTTAAAGAGAACAATGTTTCATATTACAACTATTGACGTTAAATGTAGTTATCTGCTTTGACGGAGAACACACAAGATAATTCTGAGAGCGGTAAAAAGAGAAATGCTAATTGTACTGGGGGGTTGACAACCCCCCTGACCAGCCCCTCACAATAGTGGGGGGCCCACCTTCCCCAAAAAAGGTCGGCCCCCACTATTGTGAGGGGCCGGTCACCCCTCCCCCCGGGGTAACCATAGCATTTCTCCGGTAAAGTTTAGGGATGCAAACCTCATTTTCCGGTATATTTTTAAATTCAGGCAGTACAAGGCGCTCTGCAAACTCGATGTAACAACGCGGGACAGATTCTACGGTTCCGTCAGAAAACTGGAAGGAAGTTGAATCTGCTACTGTTGAACTCTGCAACAAGAGACCATCTGGGCTCACTGTAAGGAAGAGAGAGTAGTAAGGTATATGCACCCTACTTTTGAAAGAATTAACCATACTCACAAAATACTGCCTGCACATATTTTAGAGAAACAGCAGAGAAACCAGAGACATCACTTAAGATCAAGTTGCATGTGCCAAAAGTGCAAGAAAATGAAAACACGTCTAGCAACCAACACAAAAATTATGTTCCTGTTAGAAGAACTAAACTGAATATCAGGTAATAGAAAGTAACTTGTCACTGACCCTTTAGAACACCCCCTTCAGAGTTTAACTTAAAACCATTCTGCTCAATGAACTGATTAAGATTTCCAATCTTTCGTAAATGAGATTTCAGCCGATGGGTGGATATAGTGACATGATTTAATGCATATCCATTGACGAGAGTCCAGGCAGCATATTCGCTTTCCCTACAATTTACAAATTACCCAATTTGAGTGCGAAATATGGTTCATTGGAGAATGAAAAGAACTCGTAGCGTCTGATAGAAACCTGAAGAATGACACGCCTCCTGAAAATACTACCAAGTAAACCAAGAATCTAAACAATGTAAATTCGAATTTTGGTCTATATTTCTATCCAACAGAGATGTTGACCAGATCCAGACAGAAAGATATTATATACCGAGCCAACTGTTGGAATTCAGTAAAAGAGGGTTGCTTCCAAGTCAAAGTTCCCAGTGCACTGGCCAAGGCTGCATAATTATTTCCATTGCCTGATAGCTTAGTATATTTTCTAATTATTTTCTGCATGCAAGAAGAATAAGCGGTAAACAACCAAAAAAAGTGAAATATTAAACAGCAAATCCCGTTGCAGTCAACCAGGAGATTAAGAGTAAAGATTATATGGAGATAGGCATAGATCACAATATGCCACAAAGCCAAGAGCTGATGCTTGCTTTGATTGTACGCAGTTTCGATTAAGCTTCACGGAAATGAAAAAGAATTTTCACAGAAGTCTTGATATTCTTCACAAAAAATAAAAAACCTCTCCCTTTTAAGGAACATTCATGATTTAACAATGCAATGTAATCAAGTTGTTACTTCCAAAACAAAGTGAATCTTATTTTCACAAACATATATGTTTAAAAATTAAAAATATTTTGCCAACCATTAGACAATCAAACATTTCTTGAAATTCCTACTTCATTAATTTCAAACCTTATCCAATTTTCATCCCAAAACAGCCTCAACAAGGATAAATTTTCCGAAGAACTTCTACCACCTTGACCTTTGAATAGACTTAAAGTAACAAGAAACAAGAAGCCTGTTAACACATAATTATAACATAAATAATCCAAGTGAAAACTGAAACATTAAGGTTTCCATTTTTAATCATGTATTAATCTTATTCTATTTACTCTAAGAAAGAGTTCTTAGCTGAGCATCAGGCAGAAAAAGAAACATCTGTACAACAAACCTGAGCTTCTGTGCTCATTTGATCCACAAGAAGTTCTGATATAAATATCCTTGGTAAGGGCCCTAAGGAACTTATGCTAGCATCAGAATGTGGTATGTTGGGGGGAGAAAACCAAAAAGCTTTCAACTTCTTTGCGGGAAATCTCAACTCTTCTCGTTGGACATAACCAAAATCCGTGAAAAACTTAGCCATAGAATCAATTCCATGACCATTTACCTATGGTTATACAAAACAATGATATAAATATTCATCAAAAAACTTTCCAGTGAAGAGTAACAACTGCACATTCTACACATAGAATATCAAAGCAGGTGGAAGTAAATTAACATAAGATACAGGAAATACATCGACGATGCTGATAAGAGAAAAAAATTTAGTGTTAAGGAAACCCTACATATTAAGTAAAGAAATGGAAACTTACCCCAAATGTCCTAAATGCAAAATGATCGTAACATAAACGATCATCATCTATAGAACGAACTAGCTCCAAGATGGCTTTAGCTGTGGGATTCCTGTTCAAATAAACTGTCTCCATAGCCTCCAAAGCTCTACTGAAGAAAGATTCACCTCCCTGTAATGAAACTCATACTTAACCATGCAAATTTTTGTAGGAGAATCTTTCTTGTAATTCATGTACAGTAAGGTGGTCACTGGTTAGAGAGTCTACAAACATTCTAACTTCCCACTGAAATAATATAGCTTCTGTAATTGTCCAAATTATTTGTCTGATATTTCTGTGTTTCTTTTAGCATCTGTCAGCCAAAGTTTTCTTTGTTTGTAATCATTATGCAAGCTTCACGTAGCCTAATAACCTCAAATGATCACGTGAGATTCAAGCCCTTGCTTCCTTAAAATTCAACAATTTATATCAGTCACAGTAACAAACAGATTAGCAAAAAATTTACTTGACTTGGCAAATATATTCTTCTTTTTATGCACCAGCCTCTTGCAAAGTATAACGGACTGGTTATTTCTTTTTAAATGAATAGTGTCATCTTCTTCCCCCAGTGGGTCTGCAAATCTCACCCACGGATCAACACAAATCGTACCAGAAATAACCTGACACACAGATTTGTTTCTGATGATTAAAAAACTTGTTTGCTAAATACTACATCCTCATCAATTCGGCTCAAAAATACTTGATGAATGTCAATATTTTGAACAAATTTTAGCACTTTCTACAAGTTCAAGGAATACATGAATAGGCTAGACCAATACACAATACTTCAAGTTCATATCATCCACAACTTACATCTGATCTTTGCAACCTCAATATCTCATTTATATTAGAGAAATTCAGACTAAGCTTCGGTTAAAAACAAATTCGCAAAATCAGAAGAATTATAAAAAAGCAGCTAAAAAATATCATCGGTATTCTGATTGTAGAGTTTCTATCAACAAATAACAATTATAGATCGAATTCAAATTCAAATATTTCTCAATATTTTCTAATAATTCAAATTCGAGTTTAAAAAACCCAAATAGATTTAAAGCATCTTCTCACCTTCATATGAATTGATAAAAATGATGTTCTCATATTTTCCCAAAAACAAGAATGGACCCTGAAAAACCCTGAAATCCCTCTCTACTTACTGCAAAATTTATCTTATCCAATTATAAGAGCCACAGTCATGGACATAAGTTATCAAAGTAAAAAAAGTTAGTTTTTTTTACCTAACTTTTTTTTACTTTCACAGTCTAATAATTGTTTATTTTATTATTTAACTATTTACTTATAAGTAAATCTAAGCTTAGCCAAACATGGGCGGAATGATAAGAGAGCGATGGGAATACCTGATATGAAGAATCTTCCTGTGCATGGTGATCTTTAGAACCACAAACAATTGAAAAATTACGGGATTTTCCCAGGAAATTCAAATTCCGCGGAATTTCACTTTTCATGGAAATGAAATTCCTCCCGGAATCGGAGCGTAAAACAGATGAATAAGTAAGCGAGGTAAAAGGCGAGGAAAATTCAATAGAAGAAGAAGAAGCCGCCGATTTTAGAAAAATCCCAGAACGAAATTTCATCAAAGTCTCCATGAATCACCAAAATTTTCTTTTGAATCAAGAAAAGTAAAATCTGTATTCCAATTCTTGTTTTGAAATTATGTAATCTGCTTATTCGATTGAAATATAATTAATTTGTATAGTTTTTTAGTGAAGTATGGTGTGAGTGACGTGTGCGTGTCTTCAACCGTTACTTTGTTACACAGCCACTAATAGTTGCCCCATTTCACATTTTTGTCTATAGTCATTATTGTTTTTTAACAATCAGGGGAACGTGATTTCATTGGTTCTGCTTCCAAAAAAATCGAATTAAATCACGAGCTAACAATTTTAATTTTTTTTTATATAATGAACCAATGCTTTTCTTTTAAGATATGTTACAAAATTAAAATTGAACCATTCGATTCTAGTTGGTTCGGTTCAATTATTTAAATTTTCAAATGATAAATAAAAATTAAAATTTATTACAATATCGTTAGTAATTTATACTTAAATAAGAAAATACATATCAAACATTGAGTAAATGTTAGATATAATATATTTCGATTCTTGGTTTTGGTTCTCGATTCTAATAATCAAAATTATTATTATTATTATTATATAGAATCGAACCGCTTTATTTGATTTGATCCTAATTATTTTGATTCGGTCTGAACATTTTGTCTATCTCTATTTACATCACTATATTGAACATGTCGTTTTTAGGCATGTTGCCATGTTGATGAATTCGGTCTAAAGTTCTATGAAGTTGTCACGTTCGTGGTGCCCTTCACACGACAAAATGGAAGAGCATATTATTGCCCCTCAAACTCGCCTTTACTTCAATTATCTTCCAAAGTCTCTACACCTGTGCGGAATTGTAGTTAACGCATTCCTTTTTCATTATTTGATAAACAACATTGTGACCACGAAAATTACAGAGCGACCACTTCTAAAAAGATCGTGTGACGTGTGTAAATTTTCTAAAATCAGGGTCGGCCCTAACTACTAATAAATCGACTAATTGAACTCATGTTTCTATAAACAATTTGATCCACCGATTGAATCTAGGGCAAACGCCTATGAAAAGATCGATTGGATTTAAGAAAAGGTCGGCGTAGGCGATCGCCTAAGGCCCCTACTTTGATGAGTGTTTCAATTATGTAAGGTTAATTGGTTGGTTGAAAAAAAAAACGAAAATTATAATTAAGAAATTTTTTAAATTAGAATTATCATGTGCAAACATAACAAAATTAATAAAATTTGAAAATACGAATATCACAACCACTACTTTCTTTACATATAATTAATTTGACCATTTATCTTTTCAACAATCATTTTTCTTTTTTTCTCTTCAAAATTTACGGTCATTATATTTTCTAATATTCTCATGGTGTGTCTTACACTTAATCTAGGTCTTGCTGCTGAAGACACTTATATTCATTTCTCCATGCATTTAGTTTTATTTGTCCATTTTTTTTTAGTTCGTCGGTGTGATTGTATTGATGAATGTTTTAATTGAACTAATGCTTCTCTATTTGTTATGTAATTTAGTTTGAAATATTTTTTTTTCCCACATGGCACATCTCCAAGTGGTAAAAAGGGGAAGGTAGAAAAACTTCAACTTTGTTTGAGACTGCCGCGTCAAGGATTTGAATCCTGAAATATGGATTTGGCCCTTGGAGTAAGTGCAAGTATACAAGCAGTCCTCCACCATGTACCCTTGAAAGCATAACCTGCGACTTATCTCCTTCATCAAGGCCTAGGGCAGGGCAGATGGGGGCCGCCAAAGATGCGGTTTATCCTTTTCTAGTTTGAGATATTTTCGATTTACTTATTATTCTTTGTTTCCATTTTTATTTTTGTACTAGAGTTTAAATATTGTATTTTGTCTTCCAATTTTCCCAATTATGTTAAATTGTTTTTTTAATTGCATTTAATTGTTTTCCAATCAAAGCGAATTACATATTCCATTAACTTTTCAATTACATATTCCATTAACTTTTATCAAAATCTACTGAAAATTTAGCCATTGTTTGACATTCATTTTTTTTTCCATTCTTATTCTCATTTTTTTCCTCTCTTCATTTCAACTACACATCTTATCAATAAAATAATAGGGAAAATTACATATTTAAGAGTATAAATTTAGTTTATTTCAAAAATAAAGGTTCTCGATTCGGGTACCCGTTCGGGTATTGAATTTATGAAGAACCGCTCGATTCGGTTCGGTTCGGTTCGGGTTCGGGTTCGGGTTCGGGTTCGGGTTCGGGTCGGAACTTTTGGACACCCTACGCCTAAGGCCCTATTTTGATGAGTTTCTCAAATTATGTAAAGTTAATTGATTGGTTGAAAAAAAAAAACGAAAATTATAATTAAGAAATTTTTTAAATTAGAATTATCATGTGCAAACAAAATAAATTAATAAAATTTGAAAATACGAATATCACAACCACTAATTTCTTTATATAAAATTAATTTGACCATTTATCTTTTCAACAATCATTTATCTTTTTCTCTCTTCAAAATTTACGGTCATTATATTTTCTAATATTCTCATGGTGGGTCTTACACTTAATCTAGGAGTTGCTGCTAAAGACACTTATATTCATTTCTCCATGCATTTAGTTTTATTTGTCCATTTTTTTAGTTCGTTTGTGTGATTGTATTGATGAATGTTTTAATTCAACTAATACTTCTCCATGTGTTATATAATTTAGTTTGAAATATTTTTTTCCTACATGGCACATCTCCAAATGGTAAAAATGGGAAGGTGGAAAAATTTCAACTTTGTTTGAAATTGCCGCGTCAAGGGTTCGAAATCTGAAATATGGATTTGACACTTGGGGTAAGTGCAAGTGTACAAGCAGTCTTCCACCATGTACCCTTGGAGGTATAACCTGCGATTTATCTCCTTCACCAAGGCTCAGGGCAGGGCAGGTGAGGACCGCCAATGATGCGGTTCATCCTTTTCTAGTTTGAGACATTTTTGATTTACTTATTATTCTTTCTTTTTTCCATTTTTATTTTTGTACTGGAGTTTAAATATTGTATTTTGTCTTCCAATTGTCCCGATTATGTTAAATTGTTTTTTAATTGCATTTAATTGTTTTCTAGTCAAAGTGAATAATTAATTTTAACCATACATTTCATAGGACCTACAAGTTTTCAATTACATATTCCATTAAGTTTTATCAAAATCTACTGAAAATTTAATTTTAATCTTTATTAGACAAGGACTCAATATTTATAGGAGCCCCCATATTTAAAGTTGGAATAAGCCCCTCAAAATGTGATGGCCGACCTTAACTAAAATATAGCGTGTCCACTTTTATTCCACTGATGCGAATTGTTACTACTGACCGCGACGTTGAAGATGTAACAATGTGCACTTTAGCCCGCTTGGAATATGAGTTTTGGTTTTGAGTATGAGTAATGCTATTTGTATATCAATATATACATAATAATGTACAAATAGAAGACATGAAAGAAAAATAAAGATTATAATAGAAGTTTCTTTTCTTTCCGTCTCTTTTTTTCTATCTCTTTCGCGTCATTTATCTAGACACCATTATGTACGTAATGAAGTACAAATAACATTACTATTTGAATTTAAACTGTACACAAGTTTGACAAATTCTCTTTTTCATATTTAACCCATGTTGGCTCAATTTTTTAAAACCCATTTTTAATCATATATTTCACAAGATTCATCGCTTTTATTAAAATTTACTGAAAAATCTAGTTTTTAACTTAACCAAAAGAGAAGTTCGTGAATTTCCCGTAAAATCCCTTGCAAAATTTGTTTTGGAATATTATTATCCCTTGTTTATTATTACTAGTCCATTGCCCGTGCAATGCACGGGCAATGTGATTACGAAGGTAAGGTTAGCATTCTAAAACAATATATTTATCTCCATTTTTTTTTTTGTAGCATTTTCTTAAGGATTGAATGCATAATATAATTTTTTTTTATACTTAGCATCCTTTTCATAAACAGCATAGAAAACTTCTAACAACTTCTTTCTGGTAAAGCTCTTGATATCTCCCATCATACTAAAGTCATAGTAGATGAGTGCTTCATCCACGCCAATAGCAAGGTTTCCGGGATGAGGATCAGCATGAAAGAAACCAGTCTTTAGTATCTGAAATCGAAGCCGGTGTACAAAAAATTATTTAGCCAGTAAAGGGTTAGATTTCATCAACCTGAATAACTTAACTGCAGGGAACTCACCTCAATTAAGTAACCTTCAATAGCACGTGATGATATTCTGGATTGACTAAAACCTCGTGCATCAATCATGTCTAATTGATTTACCTTGACCCCTAATTAGATAGCCAAAAATATGATAGTATATAAGCATCACATAAAAGCCTTACCACATGATCAATGCTTTAATCCATAAAAGCAGGCACAGTATTTAGTTTGAATTAGGAAATTAGAGTACATTATATTAGAACCTGGAACATACTCTAATGTCAACTCCTTTGTTGCTGTATAATCCCAGTAGACGAACTACAATATGGATAAAAAGCACATCATAATTAGAATAAGCATAGATGCGAAATATGCAAAAGCAGAAAACATATTTTTTTTTTATAGGAAGTCCAACTTCAAAGTATATGGTAAACCGAAAAGAATAATGGAATTTGGACACCAAACTTAACACTACGATCTGAAAGCAAGCAACCTAGATCAATCGATCATAGAAATTCCATTTATTGAGTTGATGGAAACGACAGTAAAACAAGGACGTGTCTGTTTAATTTCATGCACAAGTATCCAGAAAATATTAGTAACTTTCGAAAAGTCAGTTGTTCCTGGTACTATAATTAATTTGAAGATAAATATATAAGAAACGGATCATTGAAAAAAAAATAGTGAATATAGCTATCCTGCTTTCTTTTAAGTCGGGGGTTTTTCAAGCTGTTTCTTTAGAAGCATTTACTAATTAGTCTAATTTTGATACTTTTTTTTTTAACACTAATCTTTGAATTCTTGGAAAAATCAATTGCATAGAATGGACGGTAATGTTTCTTTT